GTAAAATATCCAAAACAATTGTCGAAATAATGATTAGTTTTGAAAAGACTGCAACCATTCCAACAACAATAATCGCTTTTAAACAATCAGGCGTTGAAGTTTTGCGTTGTGGTGATGGTCAATATTATTGTCGATGTAACCCTTTATTGGCTAGAGAATTAAATATTCGACCTGATATCATAAAATTGTTGTTAAAGTTTCCAGTAAGAGAACTGACTGATGGAAGACTCAAGGTAAGAGTTGATACAAGTTATAATAAAATGATCATTGAAATTCAAAAAAAGAAAGAACAAAAAATGAAAGAAGATGAAGACAGAAAAAGATTGAAAATAGAAAATAGTAAAAAAAAGTCAACAAGAAAGTCAATTGTAAATAAAAATGACGATCACCAAATTGAAAAGAAAAAAAAATCAAAACAGATATATTTTCAAAATTAATCAATAACAAAAGTGAAGAATATGATTCTGAAAACTTACTTAAACATCCAACTTTTACACAAAGAGAGTGGCTTGATAGTGATTCTATAGATGATTTCATTGACTATAACATCAACATACTCATTTCAAAATGAATTCAATGTTTTTATACATATAGCATTGATCTTTATCTAGCTTACAGGTGTCAATTTCCAATTGTTGGGAGTTTTGGAGTTGTCTTTATTCCAATTTTCATACACAATAATCACTGGTCATTTATACTTTTAGTTCGAAAAAAGTACATGGAATGGTTCATTTTATATTCAGACTCTCTTCCACAAAATATCACACGGAAATCTATTTTTCCATCAGACTTTCCTTCAAATTACTTGAAAACTTTAAGGGAACATTTTGGTTTGATTCATGAAGTTGAATACCAAACAATCAAACAAAGAGATACATGGGAATGTGGTTACAGGATCGTTTACTTTTTGTATAAATTGACAATTGGAACTTTAGACGATGGGTTAAATCACAATGAGAAAGATTTTTGGACGTTTTTATCGTGGTATTTTAATTGGAAAAAACAAGATTATAATTATGATGGTTATTAATTACTTTTGTTTTGTTTTAAATAAAAATAATAAAACCTGTTTTGTTATAATATATACTATATATACAGTATTTTTAATAGGTTAAATAAAAATAAAAACGACGAATAGGATCACATTATACAAAAAATGGCCAATCAAAAAATACCCTCATTTTTATACTATTCTTTCATTTTTATAGGCTTATTTCACCCACTGTACATATCAATTGCTTTTCAAAAATCAAAATTGCAAAACCTTTTGAATGGTTTTTGTTGTAAACCTTGTTCTTTTTATCTAAAATCGTGGAAAAGGAAACTAATCTAAAAAGGCAATCTATACAATTTGCTATAAACAAACCAAAAATAAACTAAAAAGTCCATCCCAGCGGTTTTTTTCGCCCTCTATATATGTTATTTTATAAATTATTCAATTTCAAAATTTAATTAAATATAGTTTATACAATTAATTAAATAAACTAAAGTTAATTAATTAAAAACTTTAGTCTTAAATTTTTTAACAAAAATGTTTTTTTGCGGCAAATTTGTTTAAATGGAAAAAGTAAAAGATGACTTTTTCTAAAAATAAAATTTGTTTTTTCTGTTTAAACTTTCAAAAAAATCGGTATATTATGAATTCGGGTAAAAAAAGTATTTTTTTGTCAACTCTTAGGCAATTTTTATATCAATTACAACAAAAATGTGTAAGATTTTCAAAGCCATCTTTATAAAAGTGGTCTATCACGTTAACACTCTTATCAGCATGGTTTGGTATTTTTTGACTTTCTGCACTGAATTTTTTGTCGGCAAAATTGAAATTGTTTTGTTCATTTTTAAATTCCCCAGATCATCGATTTACAAAAATACTTTTTACTCTAATAATATAGTTTAAGTGTTATTGTTTTATTAACATATTCATGGTATATTTTTAATATATTTACTATAATTATTATTAAATAATATTAGTTTAATTAACGTTATTTTACTATTAACAATTAAAATTATTTATAATTAATACGATAGTTTATTATATTAAAAACAATCATATAATTAATAGTTAAATTATAAATAAATAATATCAATTTTAAAATATTAAAAATATGTATTATATCATGTAATATAATTATTTTAAATATATGATACATTTTTTTAAATAAAATACAATAAAAATTAATTGAAAAGTTGAATTTCGCATAATTTGTTGTTAATTAAATTTAATGAAAATATACTATCTTGAAACATAAAAAACAAAAATAAAAATAATATGTGTATTTCAATAAAATTGATTTAATTAATAATACTTATATTAGAAATATTAGCATCGAAAGACCACTTCATATAAACTAATAATAAATAATATGATAAAAAATGAACTTTCTTTTGTAATGTTTTACTATAATTAATAATAAATAATTATATAAATTATAAGTAAAATTAAAACATAAAAAACTAAGACAAATTAATTGTTTGAATAATATATTAATTATTTATTAGTACTTAAATAATATTTTAATTTAACGAAGATCTAAATAATAAAAATATTACAATCCAAAACCAGAAAGCAAATCAAAAAGTCAATTCAATTTATACTAAAGAATTTAGTAAAAAAAAGCTTATATTACACAACATAAAACAAATAAATCAGGCAATTCGTGTCAATAATAAATGAATTTATAGCAAAAAATATGTTAAACAATCAAAAGTTTTATTAATAATTAACTACAATTTAACTATTTAAATTTAACTATAATTATACAAAAATTATTTATTATCATTAAAACCAAATAAAATTTAGAGATTTTTACGAACCTTCATTCAGACTTTTTACAACAAATTATAATAATTAGACAGTCTTTGGTTTTTTCTGTCTTTTATTAGTATCAATATTTTTATTACTCGATTACTGATTTGTTGTTATTAACTGTTCCACTCTTTGTTTGACTTTGATGATTGAAATCAAATTGTTTTTATAGCATTAAGAATAATAAATATCATAATATGTGGGATATATTAGTGTTAATATTTATTTTTCATATTTTTATTGATAATTTTCAATTTTCACCAATCTAGTTGTGAGTACAAAACAAATCTAAAATAAAACAAATAACAATAATAAATAACAAACAACATAAGGACAACAAATCCAACGATAAACTTAAAATAATAATAAGTATGTATTTGACACAATATAGATTATAGCGTAGAAGTATATGTTCTTGTTTGAAACATGTGTTTCCAAACAGGGTCTATCACGGAACAGGGAAAAATTTGGAACTTGTCCCAAAAATGCATTTTAAAATGAAAAGGGGTATATTTTCTTTGTTTTTGTGCCAAAAATAAAGTAGTTTTAGTAAAATTCATAGTTATGTTTGTTTTTACGATCTCCAAAACCTTTTCTTTACAGATGGCGACTTTTTGCCACGGTAGTTTTTTTTACTTAAAACGACAGTTAACAATTAAACGATAAAATATTAAAATGTATAGTATATAAATCAATGGTTTAATAATTTAATATTTATACTATAGATAATAAAACTATTAATTATAATTGATAATATTATATAATATTGAAAATTGTTTAATAACAATAAAATAATAATTAAATTTATTAAGATAAAATTTGTTATTAACTATACTTTTTTTTTAAAATATAGTTAAATGAAATTACTCAAAAATAATTGCTTTTTGGATTATTTTTTCAAACATCGAACAGTTGTTTATATTATTTTGTTGATAATAAAGAGTTTTACAAACCGTGAGCTGACCAAAAGATATATAACACAATGTAAAGTTGTTTAATTCATTCTTTTGTTTTAAAGAAAACAATTTGATAAACAAAAACGTAATTTGAATAATTTGATAAATGTAACGAGTCCTTACATCCGTAACGCATAACAAATAGAAGCCTTGGTTAGTCAATGATTGAATTTTTGCAGTATTTTTTCAATATAATTTTCATTATTACATATTAAAGTTATTATATATTTTACTATGTTTCATAATTTTT